TATTTTGTTATATTTTATCATATTTTAATATATTTTATTTATTTTATCCTAATTTTGGTTTTATTTTCAGTTTTTAGTTTTTAAGAGATTCAACCGAAATCAAACCAAAATATATTCGGTTAATATCAAAATCAAAAAAATAAAACCAAAAATCATTAAAACCGAACCGAATTCATTTTTTCGATTCGGTTTTTAAGTAAATCATCGGTTCGGTTAAAAAATGCCCAGCCCTAATTGCAACTCGTATTCCAGTCCCCAGGGATGGAACTAGGAAAAGCGACCTTTTTTTTCTTACACCTTAATTTTAGTTTTTTTCTTCTTTGCGAATGGATTTAGGATAGTTTCTTAAGCTTTATTTGGCATGGTAATTTGAAAGTAATGATTAGTAGTCTTGTCTAAATTATTAAGTATAGATGTTTGATTGTTTATTTTGAAACAGTTAGAAATAAGATATTTAGTGAAAATTTCTGGTTTGGAATTGGCAAAAAAGGCAAATCAGCTCCTGTACTGGGTAAATGGTGGCAAATTAGCCCCTCAACTAAAAACAAACGCAAATTAACCTTTCCACTTGTTGTATGGTTGCAAATAAGTCATTTTCGTATGGCTTACCTTAGACAATCGTAAATTTATAACGGAAAGGTGCTTCTGATGGGGTCCATTGCTTACACGACAATGATGTGGCATTTTTTATCCCACATCAACTTTGAGTTGGCACCAAATTGGTAATTTACATTAGGGTTTTTCCCTTATGGTATATTTATTGTATATTTTTATTACTAATTTATATAAAAAATTACAAAAATAAATTTTATTTTCAATATAATGTCACGTAATGTACTTTTAATAGACAATTAATAAAATTAAAATTAATTTTTTATACAACAATTACAAATTATGTCTCAATCAACAGTACTAAAATTTATCAAATTTTTAGCAAGTATTTAACAAAAAGAAAAAAGAGACATGTCCCTGCTTAAAATGACTAAAACAATGATTACTACAACATAAAAAATACCATTACACTAATACCTTAGGATCTTATATTGTCATAAATTCTTTCTTTTAGATCTTTGCCTAAAATAAATTTAGAGAGAAAAAATTACTACATGCTCATAATAAATTAATTTGAATTCATAACTATCATCTATTTTAATCATTTACTCTCTCTATTCTTTAGTAGGTTTAATTTTTTATCTAATAAAATAAA